CCGATACACAAATGTTGAATGACATGTAAGGCTTGTAAGAAATTACCCTTGTAAACCACCGTAGCTATTAGTTGTTTCGTGCCAGGCATCTAGAGGGTATTCAAAAATTCCATAAATTTGGAGAATTGTTCAGGGGGGAACTGTTGATTGGCCGGATATACTTGAGATGTCATGAGCCTATCACCATTTCTTTCTGTGCTAGCATGATAACCACAACTCCTTGGCTTCTTTGGTTTCCAGTCTGGGGGTTTGCCATGAATATCCCAATAGGTATCTTTAGTGTGACCTGTCTTTTTACAGTGCTCACAGGTGGGTCTATTCTTCTGGCCTCTTGGATCTGCACTTCTAGTGACAAGTGCTGATGGTTTAGGTGCAGTAGCAGTCTCCTTGACATTAGATTTCAGCATAATGTGTCGTCGTGCATCTTCACGTCTTACTTCAGTAAATGCTTCACGAACAAGTGGTAGTGGCACAAGACTAAGGATTCTACCCTTATAGCATCAAGTTCTGGATTGAGTCCTGCTAGGAACTCAAGTAGTCTTTCTTTGTCAACACGTTTTTTAAACTGGGCAGCATCCTCAGCACACTTCTAGACATCTTCATTATTCAAATCCAATTCTTGCTAAAGAGCAGTCATTTCAAGATAGTAATCATTAAGGTTACGTGAACCTTGACTCATGTGCCACAATTTAGTTCTTATTTCAAACATTTGAGAAACATTTTCCCTATCAGAATATGCCTCTCATATAGCCTCCTATATTTCTCGTGTAGTGGGTAGATACATAAAACTCCTTTTTATGGCTGGAATCATCGCATTAATGAGCCAGGAAGCCACCATAGAGTTTTCATTTTTCCAGAGGCGAGGGGCTTTCGGATTTGAGCCATTTGGAATTACAGAATCACCATTAAGGAAGCCCAGTTGTCTACAGCCTTCAATAGAGAGCTTCATCGTTTGTGCCCACCACCAGTAATCGTCTCCGGTCAGTTTTTCAGAGATGATGAGGATGTTTGAACCCTCTAAGCTTGGCATCAATGCGCACAACGCTCCCTTTCTAGCTCGAAATCAAACTGTCGAACCCCCCAGAGTCACTCGTAGAGTGGTTCGATCCCTCTTTTTGATTGGGAATCATGCCATCGGAGTCTCTTGAGTCAGTCACAGATTGTGTCTTGCTGTCGCGTATTGCTCTAGTCATCTCCATCTCTGTTTCTGAATCAGATAAATTTTCAATCTGTCCCTCAAGCTCTGATACCATGTGAGTGAGAGTTGACTAGAATGCTTTCTTGTATTACTCTAAAATATGAACAAACGATTACAATATATATAAAGTGACAAACTAATCTAATCCCTGATTTCTAGCCTACGAGAAGGAAAGAATAATAAAAAAAAAAAAACTAACAGTCAGAAGCGAAGGAGAAGGAATCAAGGGATAATAATAAAAACAAATCAAGCTTATTTACTATTTACATGATTAATGGGATTTCCACAGTTAACTGTTTTTTCTCTTCAAGGCTCTACAAATGTTCTGGTGTTATCTATGCGGGACATGAGTAGCTTTTGTCATGTCTAGTTTTGCAAATCAATTGGGATTAAAATATCAGAAACTCCTCTCCAACGTCATTTTAAAATATAATTGAGATTTGCACTGACAAAAGAAATAATAATTGATATTTCGATGTTGAAGCTGCCTTTTACTTTGTATACAATTTTCATAATTTTATCATTTATATAGTAAAGAGTTGGAAAATATCTAAAGCAATTTCTTCTTGCAGGGGGGCAGCTTACATGGAAATTTTGTAGATGCAACCCCATTTCGTAGTTCGACAAAGAAAGATAACGGGGAGTCAGCAAGATCAGATTCACTCGTTGATGAACTTGGTGTCCTGCTGAAACAAAAGGGATTCAATTATCATGGGGTTGAAGTTCTCTACAGTGGAGTTTATGGAACTGAACTTACGTGTGAGATTTTTATCGGGCCTGTTTATTATCAACGACTCCGTCATATGGTTTCAGATAAGTTTCAGGTGATCAAATTCACAATTTTGCCTTGTACAGTTCAATTTACGGTAGTAAGACAGAACGATGGTCAATTAGTCAAACACTTTTTTGGTGCATCCTGTGATCCTTTCTGTCTCAGTTCACTTTCCTCTGAAATGCTTTTCTGAAAAATAGAATGATTTTTTTTTTCTTTAGCCTTTTTTTTTCACTTTCCTCTGAAGTACTTTTCTGAAAACTAAATTTTATTCATTAACCTTTTTTTTTGGGGTCAAAATTTTTGGATGGGGAGGCTTTACTTTAGAACTCAGTCTGTTCAGCTAGTGATGTCAGCTTGTGGGTTTCTGGAATTTAAGAAACTTGGTCTGTGTATTTCTCTTTGATGTCTTTTGGTAACCTATCCAGATTCCTACTGCTGGAAGAGATACGAACTTTTCCTGTCATGTTTGCTCTTAAATTGTTATTATTTTCTTTTGGGAAAATTAATCTTTTGGTCCTTGTAATTTTAACTTAGTTGTAACTTAGTTCTTAAATTTTGACTCGTTGTAACTTAGTTTTTAAAGTTTTGACTTGTAATTTAGTCATTAAACTTTGACTTGGCGTAATTCAAGTTCCTATAGTTTTAACTGTTTAAAATATTAATCCTTATATTTTATAAAATAAAATTGGAAAGATTAAATTTTTATAATCTTTGTCAAATTGAAACTTTTAGTGATTTAAAATTACTCTCTAAACATCAGCATAATTTTCATTTTCAAGATATAAGGACCGATATTTTAAATAGTTAAAACTATAGGGACTGAGTTGTAATGAGTCAAAGTTTAAATATTAAATTATAATTGAGTTAAAATTATAAGGATCTAGTTATAGTGAGTCAAAGTTTAAGGATTGAGTCACAACTAAATCAAAATTTTAGGGACCAAATGATTAATTTTTTCTTTCTTTTTTTTTTAGTTACATTAGATACTTAAGAAGCTTGATATCCCAAAGTTTTTGGAAATCTTGGGGAGTTGGTAACTGATATTTATTTAATATTTAAGATGTTTGTTTCCAATTAAATCGGAACATGTGGATCTTTCTATAAATTATTTATTCTATAACAAATTTTTGTTATTAATATCATTAACACAATAAAATTCTCTTGTTTTGATTTGATTAGATAAAAGCATATTAAGTATATAGTGCTAAAATAGCTAAGTCTTACCCTTAATCATTAATGCCAAGCATATTTAATATTTAAGATGTTTGTTTCCAATTAAATCGGAACATGTGGATCTTTCTATAAATTATTTATTCTATAACAAATTTTTGTTATTAATATCATTAACACAATAAAATTCTCTTGTTTTGATTTGATTAGATAAAAGCATATTAAGTATATAGTGCTAAAATAGCTAAGTCTTACCCTTAATCATTAATGCCAAGCATGCAATTAGTAAGGGATTATCATCTTCCCTGAAATTTCTCCCCTCCTAATGGTCCATGCGTTAAATCGATTGTTGTTGCTCCTATTAACTTTTAAGCTTTTTTAATCTCACTCTCTTCTCCGTTACCCGAAGGGTATGAGAAAACTTTAGGCAATCTAATGTCAAGGCAATGTATATTGATAGGCCACTCCAAATTATAGCTCACCCCTGTCCACTTAAAATTAAATGAGTATGATTTAGTAACATCTTATTTTGCCTTCTAGGTCCGCTCTACTGGAACACTTGACCAGGTGACCCGGCAGCCAATTAAAGGTCGAAAACGTGGAGGAGGAATTCGATTTGGAGAAATGGAACGTGATTCTCTGCTTGCACATGGAGCTGCATATCTACTGCATGATCGACTGCATACCTGTTCTGATTATCACATTGCTGATGTATGTTCACTATGTGGAAGCATGCTCACGACGACTTTCCTTCAGCCACAGAAGCGGCCGATCCGGGAGATTGGCGGGTTGCCCCCAGGTAGAGCTCTGAAGAAGGTATTTTGTCAGGCTTGCCAAACAAGTAAAGGCATGGAGACTGTTGCTATGCCCTATGTGTTCAGATATTTAGCAGCAGAGTTAGCAGCTATGAACATCAAAATGACTCTCCAGTTAAATGATAAAGCTGGGGCTGGAGCTTGATATGCTTAAATCTGTCAATTTGACAACAAATTTTTGCTGTTGTATCATATTATTAATTTCATAAACTGGGATTTTTTTTTTTAATATAATGGAGAGTTAAAAATTTTTGAAGCCAAATCAACACGAAAATGTCTCGTGTTACTGCTTCAGTGGATACAAGGGTGGGATGAGATTAGAAAGTAGAGTGATTCTTGATGAATTCAGGTGGCCTTGAGGTCACTTTGTTATTTTGTTAAGATGATGACTATAATTTTAATTTAATGTAGTATTTTATCATATGCTTATAATTTTATGTCATGTTTAATTTCGTCCATAAAATTTGTTTTTTCCTCTTCGAACTCTATTGAATTTTACCTTTTCTCATTTTAATGGAGATTTTGACCGTGTATTCGGGCTCACGACATTTGCACCTCAGATTCTTTCAACTTTTTATTAATTTCTAGTTCTCATTTACCAGAGTGTTTCTTGACACTTAAAAATTGCTTTGGCAAAAGAAACATACTTGTATCAACACCTGAAAAAATCAACTATTTGGCCCCTGAGTTATGTGAAATTTTAATTTACCTTCTGTAGTTATTGAGCTATCAGATCCTATATAATTAGCATATGTTCTAAAGTTTTACGGTGTTGAATTCCGGGTGAATTAAGAGTCATTTAACCGCATGAAATCAAGAGATTGTGCATATTAAGAACCCAAAAAATCAAGCCTCTAATTCTAAGCAAAGCAAGAGGCGTTATTTGCATGTCCAGCGTTGAAAAATGAAGATCAAGCTAGTTGTAAAAATACATGCAAGTTCAGTCCCCCCCCCAAAAAAAAAAAGCATGCGAGCATGTTATATAGTTTTCAGGGAGACCCATCTTTCAATTCAAATGGTTGCATGTTTCAACAGGATTAACTTAAACAATCTTGAAAATGACTGCATTTATCTGAGAATCTTAGTTGCACATTTAATTTAGTATAAAATTAATAAAGTGAGAAAGTAAAGTGGTCCAGTCAAGTAATGCTATGTAGTAAATATCTGACAAAGAAGCAAATTCTCAAAATCAAGGGACATTGTTTGTTTACATGTAATGTTTACCATCCAATTCCATGTATTTGTCATTGATCCATATGCCTGGATTATCAGAAAACTTAGGCCATTGTTGCCCATTCTTCCTCTCCCATTGTTCTTGTAGCAAAGGACACTTCCAGATATCAACATCAACAGAAGAGGCAGGCAATGTACCTTCTTCTATTGACTCAAGCTTGGAACAGTCAAAAATCTGCAACTTCTTCAGAGATTTCAGGTGCTGAAGCCCCTTCCAGTCCAAGGTTTTGAGATTTGAGAAACCATGGATCTCTAGCTGTTTAACTGTGTTAGGCAACAAACCTTCTTCTGGAAAAGACTTTACCTCTTCACATTTTCCCTCAACAGAAAAGTGCACAAGAGAGGTGAGATATTGCAGATTCCAATCCTTCCTTTGGTCAATGAGCTTGTCACAATCTCTGATCTTGAGTGAATTCAAACTAATGGGCAAACCTCCATGTGGAAATGACTCGATTCCTGGACAACGCCATACTTGGAGCTCCTTTAAGCTTGAGAGGAGGCTATGCATACCTTGAGGCAGTGACTTTAGCTTGTCACAGTAGCGAACCTTCAAAGAAGTGAGATTTGGTGTCGGCAATCCTTCCTCTGGGAAAGTTACAAAACTGGGACATCTCCATATACACAAAGAATTGAGATGTTCAAGTGTTCCCTCTCTAGGTGATCTTGAAGCAGTCAAGGATTCTAGATTTTCACACCCCCATATGACCAAAGACTTGAGATTGGGAAAGAGATCCAATGGGAAGGATTTCAGAGAGTGACAACTATTATGTATCTCTAATGATTCAAGGGACTTGTGGGAGCCATTTATTTGATCAAGGAATTCCAGTTTCCAACAATTGTCAATATGAAATAAACGCATAGAAGGAGCATTTGGAATTGAAGATTCAAGCTGTTTACAGTACCTCATAGTAAGGTTTGTAAGAGAAGGGAGATAACTAGGCAAATTGCCTGCCAGTCTTGGACATTCCTCCATATGAAGCTCTCTAAGGCGTGGGAAGGCTCTGCAACTTTCATGGTCAACTTGGTGAATCCATCTCTCCCAAGCTGGCATACTGTAAAAAGTTAAGACTTCAAGTGATGGAAAGGGTTGTTTCCCTTTACAGGAATCAAATCCATAGAACTCTGGTCCCACACTAACGAGCTCCTTAAATTTTGAAAGATGAAGCTCCTTCAGAGCAGGAAGCTGACCCAGTGGTGGCAACATGTAGCAGTATTTACAGTGTCTGAGTGACAAACACACAAGGTGGAAGAATGAATGATCTCCTAACCAAGTTGGAAATTGTGTACCTGTATAATGCAGAATATTGAGAACTTCCAAGTTGGCATGTGGTTGTAGCTTGTCAAGAACATCTTTTTCATGCTGTGAATTATCTGTATCAGCACCTTTGCCCCAATCTAGAGTTAGCTGTTCAAGACACTTCTTCTCCTTCAAATTTGCCTTCATTGCATCTTCGGGATCAACCAAATACTTTAAGTTCTGGACAAGCAAAGAATCTCTGAGATTTGATAGTTCTCCTAATTCACCAATTGAAGCAGCATGCTCTTTACCCACAATAAAATTGCTCAGGTTTTGAAGGCTTCTTAATTTATGTATCTGCAAGGGCATACCTTCTAAAGTAGTACCCTTAACATCCAGATAACGTAAATTAACAAGACAATGCATGTTTCTTGGTAACTTCGTGAGACTAGGACATCTTGCTGCCTTCAATGTTTGCAAGTTATACAAAGTACAGATGGAATTGGGCAACTTCTTGATTCGAGTTTGAGACACATCCAAGTACCGAAGATGTCTTAGTTTTCCAATGAAATGGAGCAACTCATTGACACTGCCACGAGCACCAACCAAAGATAACACTCTCAAACACCTTAAATTCTTCAATAGGTCATGTGGCACCTTGTTAAGAAAGCATATGGGTGGATCTACCAAGCTTAGTTGCAGAAAGGTGCGTACACGGTTTGCTTTGTAGAAAGCTTCAAAGTTCAGAGAAGGGTATCTAGATGCAATGATCTGTGACAAATGATGAGTATGCTTCTCAACATCTTCAGCTGAATTGTGGTTCTCCAGTCTGACGCAAAATTTTCCAGATACAGATTGAGCCAAGTCATTTATAAGATCATGCATCACAAACAGTGATTCATCATTTCTTGATTGTTGAAAAAAGCACCTGCACACCAAGTCATGAAAGTACTCATGTCCAACTTCTTCTACTCTCTTGTTTCTCTTAGGTTTCTTCAGCAAATTTTCTGCCATCCACAACAATATCAACTCTTCCTTGTCAAATTCATAGCCCTTTGGGAATATAGAACAATAAGAAAAACAACGTTTCAAATGTGAAGGCAGATGATGGTAACTTAGTCTCAAAGCTGGAAGAACATTTCCCATTGTACTTGACAAATCCCACAAGTCACTATTCAATACGTTCTCCCATTCTTTGATTTTAGTTTTTGAGCGCAACAGGCCTCCTAAAGCTTTTGCTGCTAGAGGCAAACCCTTACATTTTTCAGCAATATCTTTGCCCATTTGTTCCAAAACTGGATATGAGCTTGAGTTCTTGTAATCAAAAGCATGTTTTGCAAACAACTCCCAACAATCTTCATCAGACAGACAACTTAAGCGATAAGACGGAACAGTTTGCATAATTGATGCAACATGCTCACTTTGGGTTGTAACAATGATCTTGCTTCCTTGAGCCCCATATTGAAAAGGAATTTTCAATCTGTCCCAATCAACATAATTGTCATTCCACACATCATCAAGAACAAACAAAAACTTCTTTCCCATTAGCCTTTCTTTCAGTTCAAGTTGAAGTGTATCCAGATCCAGAGTATCATACTTGCAGGAAGAAACAGCCTCCAAAACAGTTTTAGTAACCTTAAAAATGTTAAATTCTTCAGAAATACATATCCAGGCTCTGAGGTCAAACTTCTGCTTCACTCCATCATCATTGTATACAAGTTGAGCTAGGGTAGTTTTCCCTATCCCAGCCATTCCCACTATGGGAATCACTCCTATCTTTTTATCATCAGCACTTGTAACATCCAACAGTAGCTTCATTATGACTTCTTTATCATCCTCTCTTCCATATACATCAGATCCTTCAACCAAAGAAGTGGTTGGTGTTTTTTGTGACAGTTTGACTCCCACACCTCCTTTTAGACCAAGTACATCTTTTTGCTTTGCAATAAATTCTAATCTTTCAATGATATCCTTCATGGTTTCTTCTAGTTCTTTGTCATCATTTGAGTTACAAGAAGTAGAGTTACGGTTTTGTAATTGTACCTCACTTCTGCAGCTTTTTTTAGCCCTAGTATAGATCTCATCCAATAGATCATCAGCATCATACGCAGCATCTCTAAGTTCATCAATCCATTCTTTCACTGCAGAATTTGTTATCTGCTCTCCCTCTGCATCATCGAGAACCCCATTAATGGACAGCAATATCAGCTTCAACTTCCTCAGCAACCTGTCATTCAGTTTCTTCACCCTCAAAAAGCTGACTACTTCAGGTGAAGCTATCCTATCAAGCAAAACATTAAAAACTGCACCCAGAAAAGCTCCACCAACAATTTGCAAAGCCATGGTGTCTTGGAAAATCCAAGATCAAAGTAAGCTTTAGAGAAAGGTAAGCATGAAAAAAAGAAGGAAATAATAGAGGATCAACTTGACATGAATGTGGGAAAAAAGCTAAGTTATCATCATCCACTCACAATCTCTTGAGTAGATTGACTTGCTCGGATATGAACGTTCTAGGAAGAGGCTAACACCAAACAGTCTATGGTTCAGAAAATAGAATATGTTCAGTTAAAAAGCTTGATGCTTGATTACATCAATGTTGAATATTATCAATGTGAAAGTTCCTATCAATTACGTCTATTTATTTTTTTAATTGTTTTAAATTTCTTGACAATTTCTTTTTCTTTTTCTTTTTTTATATTGACCGAAGGAGCAAGTCTTTGACATATGCAAAGTACAAACCACGCGCAGCCAATGTTTCTCTCCCCCTAAAAAAAAAGGAGAATTTGGAAATGTTAGGATAAGTTATATCGTTTGTCCATATTGATATTATTTAATTTTTAACTTGGCTCTTATGTATTTTAAAAAATTATTGTTGAATATTTACAATTCATAAGAATTTTAAGAAAAAATTAATTTGCAGGTCCTTCTAATTTCTCTCAATTTTAGATTAGATTCATGTAATTTATTTTTCTTTAATCAAATTCTTATAGTTTGACTAATTAAATATGTTAATATCTGAAGGTCTGTATTTTTATTAGAAGATTATGAGTTTAGAATTAATTATATAATTTTACAATTAAAATTATATATTAGATTATATCGCCTAAATAACTTATAGACTTTTTATTAAAATTAATAAAAATGTAAACATTGTATTAAATCAATTTTTTTTTTTTTTTAAACCAAAATATTAGATAATATTTTCTACAAATTGTTAAAGTATTTTTGTTTTAAAAAAGTTAATTATTCATTAATTATTTTAACTTTCAAACGTTGATATATTTAATCGATTAACCCACACAAATTTAATTTAAAATTGAGGAAAAAAAAACTAGAAGGACTCAAATTAATTTTCATAAATTTTAATTTGTAATTTTGTTCATATGGTTAAAATTTTGTGAGTATTTGTTAAATTGTGCTGATATAACTAATTGTATGTTTCCTCAATAATATAAATAAATATAATTTGTAAATTGACAAAACTTACTAATTGAGGAATCTGGCAATTCACCTTTCAGCTACACATAGAGAACGTAATCTGGGCAGGCAAAATTTGTTCGGATCAGGTTTAATTTGGGTCAGGCTTTTAAAAATACTTAAACATAAAAAAACCTATATAGTCAAACATGTCAAAACAACAGTGATCTTGAATACCCAAATTATTAAATACTATTTTATTTTTTAGCTAGTTTCAATTGTTATCTTAAAAATCAAGATTTTCCATTTTTATTTTATTTTAATTTTACTTTAATAATAATAGAAAAAAATTTGATATCTATGGTAAGCTTATTTGGGTTTGAGCTTGTTCTAGATTTTTTTTTTCTTTAATGATATTTGGACTCAATGAACAAGAAAAGCAACTGGACAAAGAGAACTCATTTTTTAACTAAACAGATCAAACTTGGGCCTGAATAAATTTAAAGTAAAACTTTTTTTTATAAACTCTCAAACTTTACTTTAAAATTTTTGAATTTATTTGATATGTTTTATCGAGCTTGACTCAAATTACTTGCTACACATGATAGGCTACCAACAAATGCTAGGCGCATTAAGTGGGGTGGTTGTTGGAATAGATGCTTGTGATGTAATGAATATGAAGAGGATCTAATTCATGTGTTACATGACCGTAAATATGCAAAGGATATGTGATTGTTGGTTATAAAAAAATAATGTTGTGAATAATTTCTTTGACTCGAAACTACAAGATTGGGTTTGCTTGAATCTAATTTCATGATCACCTTCACTAATCAACAAAAATAACATAAACAAAGGAAAAATGGAGGAATTCTGACGATATAATTATTCTCAATCACGACGCCATGAAAATAGTCACAACAATTAAGTAAAAATAATCAATAAGAGCAACATCTGAAATCAAGTTACTTCTCTAGTTATTTATAGAGCAGAGAGAGAATATTTTTTTCCTTCTATTTATAAGTCATTTCATTAGATTTTCAACATAAATTTCTCACTCTATCCTCCATTAAACATTGAAGAGAGAAAATATATTATTAAAACTTGTATATTTAATAAAGGTAAATTTAAAAAATTTTTAAATTTTAAGATAAAGTTAATAAATTTTAAATTTATTTTTATTTTGATAAAAAATATTAAAAATAATTTATAAATAAAACTAGAAGAATATAATTGAAGAAATTACAGCTGATGGGAAGAAAAGCATTGTTAAGAGAGAAATTCCACACTTCTCTGCAGAGCCCAATGCGTATCTTTATATTTGTATATTGCCCACGATACATTTGGCCCAAGTACCAAAAATTTTCTTATGGTCCAAGCTCATATTCAAATAAAGCCCATTCGTGATACTAATAAAAAATTGGAAGGAATACATATCATCATTAGGATCAATGGTAGGGTGTAGTAGTTTGGAAGCTCTGGTTGTGGAGGAATCAATTTAGGAAAAATGACAGTTAGATTTTAAAATATTAAATTAATAATAATAAAGTTTTTGACAAAAAATTTTGAAAAATAACATTTAAAATATCAATCTAAAAAATTATAAATTTAAAAATTTCAATTGTAAATAAGTATTTAATTAATCAAATGTAACTCTTAGATTGTAATAAAAATTTTTACTTGAAATTATTTGAATTTGATATTTGTAGTTTATTTTATAGATAATTTTTTTGAGAATCTAATTGTTATTAATTCAGTGTGTGTTTAGTTTTTAATTTGTCAAAAGTTCATTTGGCAAAAGTTAATTTAAAGAAAGTTAATTGTTATAATAAAATTTGTATTTGAATATATTTTTTTAAAAGTTAATTTGATAAACTAAAATTTGTTTGCATTATGATCATAAAATGTGCTTTTAAATATACAGTTATTAAAAAGAACATTGATTTATGATTATTTATAATGTTTATTATATAAATGTAATATATGTTAAATATTTAAAAATATGATAAATATTTTAAATAACATAAAATTTGATCTATAGTGCTAAAAAACTTGATCTATAATTATTTACACTTTTTTAATTTGTAATTTGAAAAAATATGGTAAAGATTTGTAATTTTTATTATACATTAATGCTAAAAATTAACATGATTAATTATTCAATTTATATTAAAAACTTGATATCTAATTATTATTTAAATGATAATTATATTTTTAATAAATTAATTATTTTTTAAATAAAAGAATAAGATATTAAATTTGAGATAATATAGTCAAATAACATCACTTTTAAATTCATTTTTCAAAAGCTCTATCATTTTAAGTTGGCAAAAATACATTCAACTATATGTGAAAATGACTTCTTAAATGGACTTTTTAAAAAAAATTGAAATCCAAACAACATCTGAATTTAAAATTTATTTCAAAAGTTTTTTTGAAAATCTTGATCACTGAAAACCAAACGGACCGATCTTTTGGGACCTAATTATTTGATTCTCGTTTATTTACAATAATACTTTTGAGAAGCTTCATGATCCTGGTTATATATGTCATTTCAATTATTGCAAGTAATTTTGTAAGACTTTCGAGACACCTTTAGCTAAAGTGGACCGAATTAATGCTATTTGGAAGCCACCAACAACTAGTTAATTGGATCAAGGCCGATGTGGATGGTGCGTTATTTTTATATATGATGTAATGTGAAAGTTCGATTTTAATTGACATAATTAAACGTATTTTTTATTCCATTTTGTTTTGAAAAATAATTTTAAAAACTGTATTATAAAATATTTTTTAAAAATAAAAAATGAGAATTAAAACCAAATAGGGCGCCCTTAGTTGTTAGTGTTTGCTTGTATAAAAAGAGTTACGGTGTTTCAAAGAACTTTAAGTTTCAAGCATAGTTTGTTTAATTCTTGGGCTTGGATCATTGCACATGTGATCTATAAAAGTCTATGAAATGAATGTGCAATTTTATTTTTATTTGAGAGCCTAGTTGATCCAAAGAGTATTTGTTTGTAGAATAATCAAAAGTCTATGAATAATCAATTACAGCAACATCTGAAATCAAGATATTCCCTCTAGTTATTTATAGGGTAGAGATAGAAGATTTTTTTTCTCCTATTTATAAGTCATCTCATTAAATTTTCAATATAAATTTCTCACTCTATCCTTTATTGAATTAGAAAGAAAATATGTTATTAAAGTATGTAAATTTAATAAGTAAATGTGAAAACTTGTTAACTTTTAAGATAGAGTTAATAAATTTTAAATTTTTTTATTTTAATAAAATATATTAAAAATAATTTATAAATACGATTAAAAGAATATGACTGAAGAAGTCACGGCTGATGATGGGAAGGAAGCATTGTTAAGAGGAAAATTCCACACCCTCCGTGAAGCCCAATGCATATCTCTATGTTTGTAGATTTCCCATTACACCTTTGGCCCAATTACCAAAAATTTTCTTATGGTCAAAGCCCATGTTAAAATAAAGCCCATTCATAATACTAATAAAAAATTGGAAGGAATACACATCATCATTAGGATCTACGGTGGGGTGTAGTAGTTGGAAGCTCTGGTTGTGGAGGAATCAGTTTAGCAAGAATGACATTTAGATTTTAAAATATTAATTAATAATAGTTAAGTTTTTAATAAAATTTTTTAAAAAATAAGTTTAAAATATCAATCCAGAAAATTATAAATTTAAGAGTTTTAATTGCAAATAAGTATTTAATTAATCAAGTATAACTCTTAGATTGTAACAAAAATTTTGTTTGAAACTGTTTGAATTTGACATTTATAATTCATTTTGTAAATAATTTTACTAAAAATCTGACTATTATTAATTTAATGTGTGTTTGATTTTTAATTTATCAAAAGTTTATTTGCTGAAAGTTCATTTAACAAAAGTTAGTTTAAAAAAAATCAGTTATTGTAATAAAATTTGTATTTGAATACATTTTTTTTAAAATTCAGTTTGATAAACTAAAAATTTTTTGGATTATGATAGTAAAATATATTTTTGAATGTACAATTATCAAAAAAAAAATTAATTTATGATGATTTGTAATTTTATTACACAAATAATATATTTGAAATATTTAA